GGATATGTTGTGGCACGTTGATGCAAAGCAGCGGGTAATCAGCACACGTTGGGTGGTTGCTGCTAAAACCGAAAGGATCGAGGGTCGCGAGACGCCCCTGGTCCGCTGCAGAATCGTCGCCCGTGACTATTCCACCGGACCGTCAGCCGCGCAGTTAGGCATTAGCTCTCCCACGGCATCCGCCGAGGAACTGAAGCTGTTTCTTGCGGTTGTTGGGGCCCAGGGTTTTAACATTCTGGGGCTCGACGTGTCCACGGCTTTCCTCTTCGCTTACCTTAGGGGGGAGCAGGTTGTGGTGAGCATGCCTGAGGGTTGTCGGGGTCCCGCCGGAGAGAGATTGTTTCTCAAACTAAATAAAGCATTGTATGGCCTGCGCTCGGCAGCGCTACATTGGACGCGCCATCTCTCTCAGCTCCTGCACAAGCTCTTCAACATGAAGGCCTGTCCCACTGAGCCCTGTCTCTTCGTAGGATCCTACAAGGGTCAAGCAATCTACATCTTGAGTTATGTTGACGATTTGCTTTTGGCTGGGCCAGACACAGCTGATCTTTACCAGATGGTGGAGGAACTACGCAAGGAGCTGAAGCTCAAGGTCACCGCGGACCTCGCCAAAGATGGTAAGATACATTTCCTAGGAAGGGAAGTTTTTCGGTCTGAGCAGGGTGGGGACCTTAAGTTTGGAATGGACCCAGGGTACATGAACGATATTGTGGAGGAGTACAAGCTTGAGAACGCCAAGGGTGTCCCAACGCCACCTTGCTTGAGGGATTTGCTTGACAGGTCTCTGGACGAGCCAGGGTTAAGGGTTCCTCTTTCTGCCGAAGCTGCTGCCCGCTACCGCCGTGCACTCGGCAAGCTAAGCTGGTTGAGCACCACTCGCGGGGACTTAGTCTACTATGTCTCTGTTTTGGCTCGGGGCCAGAGCTCGCCGCTGGAGGTGCATGAGCGCGCTATGCGCGCTGTCTTGCGGTACCTCAAGACTGTCGTCAACTACTTTCAGCTTTTTCCGCGCCAAAGTGTTGAGAAACTCCGTCTCCATGCCTATGTAGACGCCTCGTGGGGCAGCGAGCGCTCCGTCGATCGTCGGTCGATCTCGGGAGGGTGCCTCATGCTTGGAAAGGCCTGCATTAAGACGTGGGCGAGACTGCAGCAGTCCGTTGCTTTGTCTTCGGCCGAGAGCGAGCTCTATGCGTTGGTTGAAGGGGCTAAGGAAGCCCTAGGGGCACGGTGTGCTGTTGAGCATATTCTGGGGTGTGACCCAGTTGTGCCTCTGCTTTACTGTGATAGTGAGGCCGCCGTTGCAATCAGCCAAGCTACGCCACATTGATATCAGGTCTTGTTTTCTCCAACAAGAAGTTCAGTCCGGATCCCTCCGCGTGGTTTCTGTGCGTGGCACTGAGAATCCTGCGGATATCTTTACCAAGAACTTAGATTTAGCCTCCACGCTCAAGCACATGCATCATGTGGGTCTGCGCGCCGCCCTGCTTCCAGAGGGGGTAAAGGGGTTGGCAATGACAATTTTAATGACAATTTTGCGGAATTGTGTTGCGAAGGGAGGGATTTCTTCGTTGATGGAACGGTTTAGACCTCAAAAGGGACAGAAGTGGCTGTTTGTGGAGTTTTGCGCGCCGCTTGAGTCAGGGTTCTCCAAGGTCTGTGCTAGGGAGTTTCCGAAGATTCATCTTTTGACTGTGACCGCCGCCGATGATGGAACGAAGAAAGAAACTCGAGAAGATCTCGTTGCCATTGTGGAGAAAGCAAGGAATCGCGGCATGAGGGTTTTCTTCTGGAGCTCAACTCCATGCACTGGAGGATGCCCGTATCAGCGGATGAACCTCAAGAGGTACGGAGACAGTTACCAGAAGCATCTTGACGGCCTTTGGGCTGTTCACCGGAAGCTGTGGATCGCTGTCCGAGAGATGTGTGATCTTTCTGATCATTGGGCTATCGAGTGGCCAATGAAATGCCCTTATTGGACCTGGGAGCAGACCCAGCACTACTTTAAGCTACAGAAGTACCAGATCCATGATTCAATTGTGGATGCGTGCTCCGTTGGCCTTCAGGGGTGCGATGGGCTCTTGGTTTCTAAGCGTTGGAGGGTTAGGGTTACACACGAGAGGGTCGCGACTCAGCTCTCTGCTTTGCGCTGTGACGGCTCTCACGAGCATTCTATGCGCTTTGTGCTTCGAGATACTCAGCACTACCCCGAACTTCTGTGTAGAAGGGTTTTGGAGAGCTTAGAGTGACTAAGTTCCTCTTCGCAGCCATTTCCACTCAAAATTTTTCCTTTTAAGGGTTTGGTAGTCCCGCCGGAATGGACCACTACGGTCTCCAGGCTTTCAAGGATGCCATGGTTTCTCTTTCTTTCGTCGACTTGCAGAATGAAGCACCGCTTCTTGAGAGACTGCTTGTCTTGACTTTTGCCGCAGGGTTTGTGACAGGGTGCGTCTTCCTAGGGGTTGGTCGCTGTCTGTACGCCCGCTGTCTGGCAGAGCCAGAATGGCCAGTACTTTACTTGACTTCCAAAGGTGCTTGCTATCACGTGAAACGTGATTGTCCAAGCATTCGGCATACGACGCCGCTGACACGCAGGATCTGTCTTTTCTGCGCTCGGGAACCTTCGAGGCTTCAAGAGTCTACAAAGAAGGGTGACTGACCCGAACGCCCAGAGGGGGTGTAAACGTGTATCCTCTGTTTGGGAGGATATGGTGGGCGTCCGGCTCATCTGTAGAAACCTGAACAGTTCTCGGCTAGTTTCCTGGCACTTGGAGTGTGAGGGACTCTTTTCGCTTTAAAGCCGTAGGTCCTGTAGGTTTTCCCTGTTTTCGGACGCTCTGAGGAGCTTTGGTAGTACCAGGGTGTTTTTGGCCCATGGGAAGTTGTTTAGAGAGCTCCGAGCCACCTTTAGGTAGTTTGCACCTCGGTTTGCTGGAAGACTTTGTGCCGACTTGGCTCAAGACCGGAACTGCGTGTGGAGTGCAGCAAAACGAAGGTCTCTGTCCGAGTGTTGTGCTTGGTAAGGGGTTTTGCTGGGGCTTGTTGCAGTTTCGTTCTTTTTCGGGCAAGTTGGATAATTTTGGGGAAAGACGATAAGAGCTCTCAGAAAGGTTCGGAGGGCAAGGGCGCTCACCGTCAGACTTTGCAAGTGCAGGGCCACCGCGTCGGAACTTCTTGGCAGTCAGGAAAGACCCGTCGGTTGCTGTGTCAGGACTTCCAGCTGGGCAAGTGTACACGAAGCAACTGTCGCTTTGAGCATGTGTGTGGTGTGCTCATGCCAGGTGGCCGCATGTGTCTCGGTGATCATGTACCGGCCGATCACAAGCGCACCCCGCATTGAGAGTCTGGGTGCATGGCTTCGCATGCAACTGTGGGACTGAGCATGCGACCGATGATAACCTTCTGGTTGCAAATGCGGAGGTGGCAGGGTAGGAAAGCCCTGGACGGAGTTTTCAGGCCTGGAGAAGTGTTGAGAGAGACTTAGCACTGCGGTGCATGAATAAGTGGACGCTTTCAAACAGTGCCCGGGCACTACCACCAAAACACTGGAAATGCGCACGAAGAATAGGAATTTGTGCTGCAGGAGGCATTGGAGAGTGATCTGCGGAGCAGGGTTTGGAATGCAAAAGGGGGGGTTTGGAAGGATTTGCAGAGTTTAGGGCAGGATCTGCAAGGCAGGATTTGGGGGAGGGTCCGCAAGCAAGTGTTTGGAGGAGGAGCATACACGAAAAACATGAGGGGTGGCATGTGCAAAAACTTGTAGGGTAGTCTATCTACAAGTTTACGGGGGCCTTGGCCATGCGAGGGTTTAAGGAAAGATCAGGCAGGACTTCGGGGAGGATCTATAACGAGACTTTATGAAGGAGTTATGGTTTTTATCGAGTGCAGCAGCAGTCAGTCATTGACAGTCTTCTTGTTTGCATATTCAGCAACCTCCCCCCCGCCCCTTCAATTTCAATGTGTGCCGCAATGTGTGCCGCAATGCTGATTGGGCGCTTCTATGTAAACATTGAATTTGGGGGGAGCGGGGGGTCTGGAAGGTTTCAAGATTTGTGGACAAACAATTCCAAAATTGTACTATCGCGCGAGGCCATTTTCAGTGTTCGAAAAACCACGAAAACTGTAGGACGCATTAAGGTACCCCCATAGTCAGTTGCCGCCTTGCTTGCCACGCTGTGGTATTTATGACAAGTAGTTGTCATGACGTTTCTCTGGTCTCCTTGCAGGTTGTATTTCCCAAAATAGGTATTTGGGATAATCAAAGATATCGCGATCAAGAAAAATTTATTCGCAATCATAATCTGAGAAATCTTCGGACATGTGAATCAAGCTTGCAATCACTCGGACCACTCTTTTTCTTCCTAAGACTTCAGCTGGGGTAAAACACCGGGTCCGATGGCACAATAGGGCGAGATCAGCCCCGATGGCAAGTGCAGCCATCCACGAGCAACCATCTCCCCCAGTTTAACAAAGACCGTATTGAACCAATGCCGGGTGGGTGGGAGGTCAAAAATTTTCTTGCTAAGCGAACACAGCTTGAGCATCACCACCGGCGTGACATGATTCAAAATCGCACTGAGGAAAACATTGCATGTGAGACGTTGAAAATAAAAAGCCAAAATGTGTTGGAAACATGACAACGAAAAGCTGCAAGTTCGCTTCGCCTTTGGCTTCGCTAGACCAGGATAAACATTACTGCGCTCCGCTCCGTGGGTCGTTTCTCTGGTCTCCTTGCAGGTTGTATTTCCCAAAATAGGTATTTGGGATAATCAAAGATATCGCGATCAATAAAAATATATTCGCAATCATAATCTGAGAAATCTTCGGACATGTGAATCAAGCTTGCAATCACTCGGACCACTCTTTTTCTTCCTAAGACTTCAGCGGGGGTAAAACACCGGGTCCGATGGCACAATAAGGCGAGATCAGCCCCGATGGCAAGTGCAGCCATCCACGAGCAACCATCTCCCCCGTCCCGCGAGCTGAGCTGCACTGGCCCTGGTTCATTGCAAAGCTGAGCATGTCCAGTCGGCCTCCAGTCGCGTGGAGGTCAAGATTGCCTGAGCCGTATGAGCACTGTAGTCAGCAGCACAAAGGAAATCAAGCATCGTAGGGGTCAATGCGATGTCACCTTTGTTCTCAACTGCGAAGCGTTTGCAATCCTCTTCGAAAGCTCCCCGTGACGGGAGATCGGCAGGGTTACTCTTTGAGGGCACTCGCTCGAACCAAAGTAGGGCCTCGAGAGACCCCTCCAACAGCGCCACCAACGAGATTAAGCGAAGAAGGCTCAAGGATGGCGAGTACCGCTTGATGAAGCCATATCTGCATGCTTCGTTGTCGATGAAGGCTATGACCGACCTGCCTTTCAAGAAACCCCTAAGACCGAAGATCAAAATTGCAAGAGCGTAACCCTCAACTTGGCAAATGATCTGATTTCCGGCCTGCCGCTCCCAGAGGTCTTTGAGCTGCTGGCAGACGGTCCCGCCAAAGGTCCACCGAGCTCCGGTGACCCCATCTACAATGACGGCACCCCAAGTCCCAACGCCTTTCTCGTATGCCCCATCGGTGTACAGGATGATGGGTGGCTTCACCGATGCAGGGCACCGCTTGGGGCGACATTGCGACAACACGTCCAAGGCCAACGCACAAGCATGCTGCAACTCTGTGGTGTTGCCTCGGAATGGGCCTGTCAGGGCTCGCGACAGCATACGCGAGGTGGCCTTAAGCTCGAACCCTAAGATCAAACCCCCGGCAAAGTTGAGCAGGCCGTGTAGGGAAGCCACATCTGATCGGGTGATCTCGTCTCCTTGCGAAATCCGCTTCAGCTGCTGAACGATGCGCTCAAGTCTGCCCGCCTTGTTCTCCACAGTCAAGGTTCCTTGCCAAATTTCCTCAAGCCCCAAGGTTACACCTAAGGAAGTTACCTTTTCGGCAAAAGGCACAAACTTGCGCCCGGAGCGCGCGAAGGTCCAGCCCAGGATGTCCAGCAGCCGCATGAGGGCTTTATCCAGCAAGGAAGCAGCAGGCTTAAACTCGTAGATGGTGTAATCATCGTAAAAGTCCGTGGCGATTGCCATGAACTTCACTGTCATGATGTGCAGAACCCCTAGGGCAACCTTATTAAACCCGAAGACGCTCGCGCCGGCCCCAAACGGGAGGCTCCTCGTGATGTAGTACTCCCAGCCACCAGCGGACGTAGGGAAACCCAGCACTGAGAACTCCTTGCAGTCAGGGTGGATTGCCAGTTGACGATAGGCCTTGCTCAAATCCAGCGTCTTGCCTAACAGGGGAGGGGCCGACAGCATCTCAGGCGCCCAGTTGCCTTCCAAGACCGAGCCATCAAGCAGAGGCACCCTTACTCGGGAGCGATCCTGAAGAACCCTCGAAAGGAACCTAAGCAAACCCACTGCGAAGTCCGTGTCCTGCAACTCGAGGAACGATGAAGATCCGAAGGCACGGTTAACAGCTGACATTTTGAAGTCATCTATTATCCTAATCTTTGCGTCCTCTCCCTGCCTCAGGAGGAAGCGGGGCGAAAGAGACCAGTTTGTGGCCCCCAGCACTTTACTGACCTCGGACTCGGAAGAGTACGGTCCACTCAGGAAACCAGCTTTGACCTCTTCGTCCGTCTCCGCCCGCATGGCGGCGTAGTCCTCCTGAGAGACGAGTTTTCGCGTGCGCTGTAGAACGTCCCTCCTGAGAGCTGACTGGGCCCGCAGTTGGTCCGGGCTGATCTCCTGCGGCTTCGGCCGTTTGGCAAAGAGGGCCGAGTCTTGCTCTTGGCCCACAAGTGGCACGCCTTTCACAAGCAAATCGATTACGGACATGTCTGCAAAGGCGGTTTCCTCAAGCAGTTCCCTGAACAAGGAGATAGCTTTCCCCCTGGTCACGGATTCAACATCGGGGTGCATGCTCTCGCGAAGCGTTCTTTCTTCATCTGCAAGCTCCTGCACTCTTCGGTTCAGCTGCTGAAGAGCGAGAAGCCTTTTCTTTGAGATCGCCACGGGTCCTTCGGTCAGCATGGCGAAAATGTTCCGCCTGATCTGATCTGGCAGCCTCTCGCTTGTATCAGCTGGACTGCACAAATTTGAGGCAAGACGAAGGTGCTCTTCCATGGTGTGGTAAACACCAGCCACTGCACCTACTCGGGGAGCCGAGGTCTTAGGGGGAGAACCATTAAGCCTAAACCGCTTATCCGGCTCATCCAATTCCCCCGGTGTCGAGCCGACTTTGTCCAAGATCTTGAAATCAGCATTCGAAGGCACTTGAGACAAAGGGGTTACCACCCGAAACTCAGGAATTAGGGGTGGCGTGAAATGAGACTGATTGGCCGCGGCGGCCCTGACAGCAGCCCGGAGCTGACGGCAGCGGCCTGCTGCACGGTGCTTAGTTGATCCGGTGACGAGCTTGGTGGCACACTCGCACAGGCGGTGGCACAAACCATGGGGCAGGGAAGCATCGTTGAAGGTGCCACCGGCCGGCGAAGGCAGCCAAGCTTGATGCTTATGTGATTTGTCACACGTAGCAGAGATCTGCGGGAAAGCTCCGGGCGTGGCTTTGACCTTGAGTGAGGTAAGAAAAGGCGAACCGAACATGCAAGTGTCAAGCTCCTGGTCTTCTAGGGTGAAGAACCAGTCAATGAAGTCTTTCGATTGGGTGGATTTCACAGTGCTCGCTAGGAGGCTCCAAACCCAGCTCCTGGCAGGCCCGATGAGTGAGACGAGGGCTCCGGTTTGATGAGCTCGTTGCAAGGCTGAAACAAGGGCCCTGCAAACCTTGTTGTCACGGTGCACCAGGTCCTGGGCTCGAGGGGCAAGTTCAGGGCAACCGAAAATGCAGTCAGCTCTCCGCAAAGGTTGTTTGGAAGATCCCCGATCCAACCGAGCACAGGATTTGAGGAAGAGGTGCCCGTGCCACCAATCAACAGCTGCCGACGAATCAAATCGGAGAAGTGCCTGCACGTTTTCCTCCTCAGAGAGATCCAAATGCAACATAGGCGAGCCGTGGGGATCGTGAGGGCCTTTACCTACCGAAATCGCGTCCCATCCGGTGAGGAGGGCCTCTGCTGCTAAGGGACCACGACAGGCCAAGCACTCTACCATGGACGGCGGACGACTTTCGTGAGTCGGCTTTCCCAGGGCACCCGGGTCACTGCTGGTTTGAGGTTTGTCTGGAAACGGCAAGAGGCGCTGCTTCGCTTCACCCAAGGATATAGGCTCGGACTTGCAGACTGCGACGGAGCTGAGCTGTCGCGGATTGGGCAGAGGGAAGCCCAAACGTTTCAAGCAAAGCTGATCATCGGCAGAAGCATGCGAAGCTGCTTTAAGGGAAAAGAGCACAAGCACGGTTCGTCGCCCGTGCGCTTGACAAGTTGAGTGCGGGTGCTGTCTAGCACAAAATTGCACCGGTCCTTTCGAAACCTCAAGGTCGATCTCGCGGTTGGGTTCCAAGACCTTGATGGCCCCCACAGTGAATGCAGTCAAAGGAATCACTATGTTTGGCAAAAAGGAATTCTGCTTGTCCCGGTGCTCCCGGGTCTGTACTCTGGAAAATATGGCAAAACTCGTGTAAACTGCGCCGTCAAGCAAATGAGCTACAAACTTATTCACCGCCTGCACAGAAAGTGGAAACAGCTTGCAGGCCTTGCGGAGGCCCACTTGGACTCGTGAGTAGAGTCCTGCAGAGAAGGAAAAACCCGAAGCACTCCGATCGCACTGGTCGTGTGGCAACGCATCAAACAAAGCGGTCACCTGCGAGGCTGATATGGGCTCACTCTGCTGCAAAAGTTGTTTGGCAAAGACTTCGGGCTCACTTGAAGCCCCCGAACACAAGTTTGGAGAACTGTCATTGGCTGCCTCGCCTGCGGATAGTCAATGTTTGCACTCGATGTACGGCCTCTCAGCCCCACAGCCTTTGAAATTGCACACATGCTTCCCGAACCGGCACGACTTGCGCTTCTGGAATCGGCAGATGCCCTTATTGTAGAAAGGGCAGATGAAACGACCTTCATCAGTGGCTCGCACACAGCCCTCTGGCAGAGATTCGAGCAGCTCCTTCAAGGAGGTTGTCGGGGCGGCTTCCGCACCGGATTGGCTATGGTTTTGCTTGCCCTTGCCTTTGCCTCCGCCCTTGTTTCCCTTATCCCCCTTCTTGCCGAGTCCTTTACCGGGCTTGTTTGGCAGCCATGTGGGAGCGGGAGCTTCCAAGGGCTTGGGCAGGTGCGTCAAGCATGACACGACAAACTGATTGGTTGCAGCAGCGGCTATGTGCTTGTCAAGAGGAGCCGGGGCTCCGACCCCGACGACGATGTCACCTCGGCTCTCCTGGGCCACCACCTGCCAAAGCTTCTGGTCAGCTGCAAGCAGCTGCTGAACGGTAGTGTAGCGATAACCTGCCGGAGGCACATCAAGCAGAGCCTGGAACATGCGGTTGTGCCAAGACTCCAGTGCAGTGAAGGAGGCGAGCCCTACTTGATCGAACGCTAAGGCCCGGCGCAGGAAGCACCGGCGAAGCTTGAGCTCGCCGGTAGTCTCGCAACGGAGGCTCGAGGCTTGCTTCGTGACCTTGATGTTCCCGTCGGCTCCCAAAGAGATCTTTTGTTCCGTCTTCTCACCCAGGATTTCGTCATGGCGGGAAATGCACTTCTCCGGCGCGATGTGCAGCACTTGTGCAGAATCGAGCATGGCCTGGACGCGGTCCACAAGGCCGTGTCCAGGTTCTGTGTGGATATCCATCTCGAGGCCTTTAAGCTCGCCCCTTTGGCGTTTCAAGCGTGTTAGGCGTTCAGCCAACGGAAGCTCGCGGGGGCTTGTATCACTTGTTCTCGAAGCCCTCGATTCCAAGTCAACCAGGGCGTGGGCGTGGCAATCGTACCACAATCTCCTGATCACCATATGTTGTTCCACTGGAACCTCACTCCCGATCAGAGTCTTCAGGGCTTCGAAGAGAGGAGTGTCATCCCCGCTGGAAGGTTTGCTCGAGCACACGAAAGCTAGCTTGCCGAAGGTGTCCAAGCTCTTAGCAAGGAGCTTCTTCAGAAGGTCCTCGCTGATGCCGATCTGCTTTGCTCGGTCGGTGAAGGCAGGCACCGATTCAAGTCCGGCCATGAGACCTGGGCAGGTGAGGATACAGGTTTCGAGGTCTCACCCACGGCGAAGTCAACCGTGGGTCGAGTTTGTCTCGGATTCACACTTCTTCGCCACCGATCACAGGCGGCCTTCGTGAACCGGCGATCCCAGCCGGTCGCGTTCCAATAGTATTTTTCATGACTCAGGCCGGCAAAGGCAGCCGACCACGGGGGTTCTTGCAATCTCAAAGCCCCCAATCAAACTCCCGCTAAGTTCAAGCTTGGGTGCTCACCAGGCCGCGCGGGAGATTCGCCCCAGTTTGGCAACTCCCAGCCAAAAGACTGCGGACACTTCCCAGTCCGGTTTTGTGCTTCGAAGCAAGAAACACTCTAACTGATCTCAATCGGCCCGAGCACCCTCATCTCAAATGGCATAGGCACGAAGTCGCAAATCAGCAAACGATCAACTGAGCACATCCTCTTTTCTTCAAGCTGCGCACTGCTGGCAGACATTCTCCTGAGCCTCCTCGGGCCCCATCAAACGCATGTTTGCCGTGACCTTCCTGCCGCACTTAAAAATTCCGGGGTTGACCAACTTATGCACCACTCCACTCAAGACGTGCATGTAGGTCTCTCCCGAGAACGTGCTGCTAAGCCGAGGACGGACCTCCTCCGGGGCCGGTGCTCCCAGGTCCGCTTCGAGGCCGCCGAGGTTTGTTATGTCGGACCCAGCCTCGGAGTTGTTCTCATCTTGCGGCTCTTCTGCCGGCAAATCCTCAGCCGTCGTCTCAGGAAGATGTGCAAAATCTGCTGGATCGCCATGCAGAGCTCTTGCGACCCTCTCGGCTCGCGGGAGGTCGGGACTAAACACTCCCCGGCTCACCGCACTCACGACCTTGGCTACCTTCACTATGATTTCTGCAAGCGCATCTCTCGAGTACAGGAGAGCCATGCCGTGCTTTGGGCTGCAATGATGCCCCTGGGCGAGGCGCTCATCGTAGGTCATGGTCCCGCTCTTGGCCGTCCAGGACAAGGCTGTTGCTTTCAGGATGTGCGAGCTGTACTGTTCAAGATCCCCCGCGAAACCCTGCAAGTGCAAAAACTCACGAAGCCACAAGGAACCCTCCGCAGCCGTCATGGCCCTTCCTAGAAAGTTCCCTCCCGGCGACATGGCCGGCATGATTACGGCACAGTCTGGTAGCCCTGCCAGGGCCCTCTTGCGCATCCAGACACGTCCCCATGAGGGCTGAGTTAAGCCACTGCCCAGTGCAATCAAAGGCAGCACGGTATCCTTTCGGTCCTTGGCCTTCGTCTTGTAATGTTTTGTCGAACACTCAAGAAGGACAAGCCCGTTACCTGCCACGTCAATGCTCAAGTCAGTCCCTCGAGCCGCATCCGACCATCGGGCCGAGTGTTAAAGAACGGGCTTCACTAAGCTTCCTACTCTCAAACTGAAGCGGTCACTTTTCCTTGTGGGTCACTGTGTCCGCTGGTCTCGAGCCTTGCACGTCGCGTGTGCGTGACGGCTGTTCCTGTACATTAACTGCACTGCACTAACTGTGTTACTGTTCCTGGCAAGATGTTTAACACCCCGCCTTCGGAGTTAGCGAAAGTTCCTCGACTGAGGTGACTCCGACTTTTCCTGTCAACAGTACACACACTGCAGTTCCTTTTCACTTGCAAAACAAACACTCTGCCTCATCGCAAACATATGTTCCTATGTTCACTCGCAATCCTCTCCAAGGTTGCTCGACTGTACAAAAGACGTTCCTTTACTATACTTAGATCACCACAGAAACAAAAAGGGCTGTGCCACGGTTCCTGTGTCCTGCTGCTTCTTTCCTCGTCTCTCTGGCCTCAGTACTGCTCGCTGTTCCTTTGCTTCACTGGAAGGTCACTTCGCCGTCGTCGACCTTGTAGACTTTTACTCCTTCTTCTTCGTTGCTGACTTCTTTCTGTTCCTTGAGTTCTTGCTCTAGCCACTCTGCACGCTGCCTTGCTTGTGCTATGCACTTCTCTTTTCCTTGCTTGTCTCTTGATCCTGCTTTCCAACCTGTTTCCTTTGATCCGGAATACCAGTACCACTGCGTCTTGGCTTCGTTCCACTTCCACTGGTAGTTCTTGTTCTGGAAACCGTAGACTGCAAACCAGTTTCCTTCAAGCTCTCCTTTTCCTTTTCCTTTCATGAACGATTCTTCGTTCACTGGTCCTTTGGCGGAAAGTTCTGGGTCGTCCTTTCCTCCTTTCCTTTGCTGCTGCTGTGTGACTCTCGGTGGCTCCTTTCCTGTTCCTTGTGTTTCTGGCTTCTCCTCTTCCTTTGCTAGTGTTGTGTCTGGTTCCGTGGGTGCCTGCGACCCGGCTGCTGATCCTCTGCTCTCAAGCTCCTGTGTAAGGCTTGCAATTCTTTCTTTATCCTCTTTGCGTTCCTTCATCATCTCCTTCATCATTTCTTCAAGCTTCTGGATCCTGTCTGCTTCTCCTGATCCTGTTGCTGTTGATGCTGCTGCCTTCTTCTCTGCTTCCTTCTTGGCAATGTACGCTGACGATGCCTTTTGATCTTCCTCTCTCTTCTTCCTGGCTTCCTTCTCTTTTCTTTTCTTCTCCTGCTCCTTTCTTTCCTTTTCCTCTTTGGCTGCTGTGGCTGCTGCTTCTGTCTCCTCCTTTTCCTTTGCCTCTCTCTCTGCTTTTGCTTTGGCTGCCGCTTCTACCTCTCGCCTTCTCTCGGCGGCTGCTGCGGCTTCTGCTTTTGCCTGCTCTCTGTCTCGCTTTTCCTGCTCTTCTGCTGCTTCTTCCAAAAACCCTCTTGCTTTGGCAATCTGCTCCTCCTTTGCCTTCTTCTCCTCTTCTGCTTTGGCTTTTGCTTCCTTCTGCTCCTTTGAGATCTTGTCCTGTTCATCCCACTATTTGCGATCATCTTCATCTCGAGGTCGAAATCCTGTGCTTTCTGCTCTTGCCTTTGGCTTTCCTTTTCCTTTTCCTTCCTTCTTTCCTTTTGTTCCCTTCTCGTGCTTGTACGTGTAGTCCTTGTCGTTGTGGATCTTTTCTCCTGTGACTCTGTGCTGCTTGTAGATCTCGCCGTTCTCGGAGTATTCCTTCCATTCGCTGCTGTAGTCGTAGGGGTACGGAAACTGCTTCTTTTCCTCTTCTTTCTCCTTTAGCCTTTGCTTGCTTTTTGCGTTGATCTCCGCGATCTTCTTCTTCCTTCTTTCTTCCTTTGCTTCCTCGCTTTCTTCTTCCTCTGCTGCTGCTGTTCCTTCTTCTGCTTTGGCTTCTTCGGGGTACTCCCCGGGATCTTCTCCTCCACCGTAGCTGTCCACGTAGGCCTCGTTCTCGTTCTCGCCGAAGTGGTCCTGGCTTTCTTCCTGTTCTTGGAGTCCTTCGAAGTAGCTCCTGTCTGACCAGTTCCTTATATCGTCTTCTCCTTTGTGTTCCTGGGAGGTAGGTGACGTAGCTCTCGAAGGTGCTGTTCCTTGTCCGTGTCCTTCACGACGTAGTTCACCTTCTAGTTCTCGGTCTTTGGCTTCTCTTTTCCTTTGTTCCTCTTCGTCTTCTTCTTCTTCTTGCTGCTGTTCGTAGAAGTCCTGCATCATCTGGTTCAGCTGTTCCTTCACGGAATCACATGTACCCAGGACGAAGTTCATGTGTTCCTTGACCTGCTTCCGGTCTCTTTCGTTCTCTTCGGCCATTTCCTGAACCTGGTGCTTCACGCTGTAGATCTGGGATGTCAAACTTTCCACACATCCCGCAACGTGTTCCTGACTTTTGCGCAAACGCGCAGCTTCCTCTGTGTTCTTCCTGATCGACTCCGCGATCAAGTTCCTTTCTTCTGTAGCGGTCTTCAACGTGATTGCCGCTTCTTTCAAGGTCTGAAGTTCCTTGACGATCTCTTTTGAGCTTTTGCTTGAACTCGCGCTCGCTTCCATGGCCGCTGAGGTTCCTGGTAAGGTGCCTTGACCTGATACTGGGCGTACTAGTTCCTGGATACCTGAGCGTTCCGCGAGTGTTCCGCAGAGTTCCTTGAGCTGCGAAAGCATCTCACTACATGTTGTTCCATGCGCTGTTCCTGCAAACGTTCCTAGCTCACATGCACTCGTGTCACTGCATATGCCGTCCTGCTCGCATGCACTTGCACAGCAGAAAACATGTTCCTGAAAGTCTGTCTGAAACTCTTCTTCTTGAACACAACTCTCAAAACACTGTTCCTTGAAACTCTGAATCTGAAGACTGTCCGAAATACCTGAAATTCCTGCAAACAACAAAGCTGCAAAAGACAAAGTTCCTGGGCTCTCGATCATCCTTACAACTGCTTTAGCTTGTGTTTGGGCCTTGTGTTCCTTGAGCTCTTCTCTACCTACTGGTTCGTTCTCGCTGGTCTGAAAACCTAGCCAGTTTAACAACAGTCTGATACGCTTCGCTGAAAGGGGCTTGGTTCCTATATCAGCTGTGTTTTCCTTGGTTCCTACTGGGTGAACACTAATTGTTCCTTCTTTGTGGAGGTCTTGAAGAAAAAGGGTCCTGATCTTCAAATGCTTGACTCTACCTACACCTTGCCTTGTAATAATTCCTCTAGCTGCAGAAGAATCCATATACAAGTGTACCTTGCATTGTTTCCTGGTCAAGAATTCCACTGCTTCCTTCAACAAGATATAATCTGACGCTGCTGACGCTCCTGCGTAGTACTCTGCTTCACCACTGCTCAAGCTAACCGACTTCTGGTTCCTAGAAAAAGAGTAAATGCACTGACCGTCTAAGCAAACAATTCCTGAAGATGTTGATCGCCTTGTGTCCTTCTTTCCTGCCCAATCTGAATCACTGAAGACTTCCAAAAGGTGGTGTTCCTTGGGCCTTGTTCCTGTAAAGTCGTAGTTACCATTCCTAATGGATTCATTGAGATTACTGAGTCCTCTGGGTGTCTTCCTGTACACTAGATGGTATCCTTCAGTTCTCGACATGTACTGCACTAGGTGGACTAAGTGCTTCCAAGAACCATGTGTTGGTTCCGACATCTTGGAGGCTAAACCTCTCACAGCAAACTGCACG